TGGATGGGGTTCGGTTGCATGGATGGGGCTGGATGGGGCTGGATGGAGCTGCATGGGACATGGATGGATGGATGGATGGATGGATGGATGGATGGATGGATGGATGGATGGGGTTGGATGGGGCTGGATAAAGCTGGATGGGGCACATGTGGCTGATGGAGCTGGTTTGGATGGATGGGGTGGATGGGGCCGGATGGAGGCTGATGAAGCTGGACAGGGATGGGTGGCTCCACAAAGGGTTGCATGGGGCTGGATGCATCAGGGTGCAACCAGATGCAGACGGATGGGGCTGGATGGGGCTGGACATGGCTGGATGGTTCAGGATGGCACTGATGAGTCTGGAATGGGCTGGACAGGATGGRCTGGGCAGGGACAGCTGGTTAGATAGGAATGAGGGGCTGGATGGGGCTGGATGGGACCAGGTGGGGCTGAACTGCGTGGGATGGGGCTGGACTGTGGCAGCTTCCCCGGGCTTGCTTGTCCCCATGTCACCATCCCCAGTCCCCTCCTTTCGCAAGGCACCTTGTCCCGCTCCACAGCATGTTCCCCCGGCTGCAAATGGCAGCAAGGAGCCTCTGGCAGCAGGAATTGCCCGGCTCTTCTGGGCCGGAGCGCGAGCCGGCAGCTTCCCGGCTTCCCCTGCGCTGGCCTCGGCTGCCTCCACTGGAGACAGAGCCGAAAGTGGCTGCATTGTTCGCCCCTCTTCCCACTGGGAATTTCGGCTGCCGACTGGAAATTGCCTCCCGCTCAGCCCTGGCCCTGCTGGATTTTGAGCCGGGAAAGCCGGATCCAATGGTGCTGGGACCCTTCCAGGCACCCCCTGCTGCAGCCAGGGTGTCCCCGCTTGCACGGGGACGTGCAACGCGTGCAAGGCGCATGCTCGGAGGTGTGCATGGGGACATTGCACGTGCACACGGCCTTGCACGCTGCCTGTTGCACATCCCCACTCTTGTGGGCACTCCTTGTGCCTCCTCCTTGCACGCTCAGGCTCCCCCTTGCGCACACGCATCCCCCCTTTGCACATATCCCTTGCACACACACAGGCCCCATCCATACCCCCTTGCACACAGGCAAACTCCTCTTTGCACACAGGGTCCCCACGAACGCACTCCCTTGCACACACGAACCTCCCATTGCACACGCAGGGCCCGTGCTCACCTCCTGCACACCCTTCTCTTGGCACAAACACCGGCCCCTTGAACACCCCCCACTTGTGCGCACTCCCTTGCACACACGCGTGCTTCCCTTTGCACCCCCCTTGCACACACACGCCCATACACGCCCCTGCACACGCACCCCTCGCACACCCCCTCACGTCCCCGCACACCTCCCCTTGCACACATGCACCCTCTTTTGCAAACACACGTGCCCCCCATGCCCCCCCGCACACGCACACGTCCCCACACCCCTCCCCTTGCACACCCCCCTCTCCGCTTTGCTCCCCCCTTGCACACGCGGCGCCTCCCCCGCACCCTCCCGCGCCTCTTGAGCAAGAACGCTGGGATTAATAAAGCCGCGCGGCCTCCCCTAATAGACTCCAGCTGCAAAAACATTCCCGGCATTCAGAGGCGGCTCTGTGTCCGGGAGCCGCCTCGCGCCTGCCCAGGCCGGGCCGAATTCCTGCCCGCGCCCCCCGCTCCCGCCGCGGGACAGCTGCGCCGGAAGAGCGGGAGCGCCGCGGGATGGGGCGCTTGGCACTGGGGCGAGAGGGTCCTGGGGGCGCGGAGATGGGGACCATGTCCGTGTGCTTGGCCCCTGCTTTGCAGGACGGATCGTGGGATGGTGTGGGATCCATGTCCACGTGTGCTGTGGTCACCAGGAGGGATGGTGGAGTGCAGATGGGGGACCAGGTGTAGATGTCCCATGTTCTCGGGGAAGGATGGTGGGATCATCTCCCCTTGTCCTGTGCTCTCCAGGGGAGGTGTAGCCGTGGAGAAGGGAGACCATCTCCATGTGTCGCATGTTCCCCGGAATGGTGCTGGGATGGAGATGAGGTGCCATGTCCGTGTGTCCCACGGTGCCCAGGAGGAGCGCTAGGATGGAGATGGGCACCATGTCCCCATGCCCCGTGTTGCCCATGGGASACGTTGCGACAGAGACAGGGGAGCACATCCATGTACCCCACGTCTCCAGGAGGGACATTGGGATAGTAGGGGGTCACATCTGCTTGCCCYGGGTGGAGGCAGGGGGGAATCCTGCCCACCAGGGGCTGCTTCTCCTTTAAGCGCCCGGCGCCGGGGAGCCCGATTTAGCCGGGAGGCCGCCTGGCTCCGGCGTCCGGCCAGGGCCCCGCGGGATCCTCCTCATGTGCCGGCACCGYGGGGAGGCCCGGGCAGGGGGGTCCTGCTCCATCCCCGATGGGTGCCCAGGGACCCCAGCCCGGGATGTGGCAGCCCCCCATTGCTGCAGCCTGGGCTCGCTGCTGTCACGAGCGCGTCCGTTCTCTGCCCCGCGGTGAAGACACTGCTGGAAAGAAGCCCCTGCTCCAGCTCGGGAAGGCAGCGCGGGGGGCGGATCCGGACCCATTCCCACAGCCCCCCCGGGGGCTCCGCGAAATCCTCGGAGCGGCTGCCCTGAAGCACCGCGTTCCCCCTGCCCATTAAAGCGGGAGTGCCCGTTAAAGCGGGAGCGCCGACCCCGAGCCCCGCGGGGGCAGCCGCCCTTCCCCGCACCGCGGGCCGCACTCGTGTCACGAGTCCGAGAGTGCTCAGCACTACGGGGGCGAGGGGGGGTCGGGGGCGCTTTAATTGACTTTAGCCGCGGCGGGGGCAGCTGTGAAAACAGAGCGGCCTCATTAGCGGCC